TTACAACGCCACGCGTTCACCGCATCGATTGGCGTTTTATTCGAATGCGAGTGTTCGGGGACACAGCCGACTGTACACGGTAAATCACGGAAGAAGCCAACGGAGCAATAAAATTGCATTTCACGCTCGTGGCACGCACGCGAACAAACCGCGCGTGCACGTAGCGCCGAATCCCGATCTCGCTGCGCGTTAAACCCGGATTATATAATTCGGACGAAATCATCGGCGAATCTGTACCCACAGGGGAGGAGGGAGGAAATGATCGAATCACACATCGGTAGTAAAGTATTACATGGAGAAGCGGATACGTCGGGATTAATGCGATCATGCATCGCATCGTGTTTGTCGATTGTGCTCGTTGTACCAATAGCTCGTATGCACACCGCGAATTAAGGGTCTCATGCGAAATGGCGATGATAATCCGTTGATATTATACTAAATTTTCTTTTTATTCATAGCATTATCGGCCCGATGCCCCCGTTATTTGAACTCTTGCTTTTGAACTGTTACCGCATTGGCGGTTCCATTAATTCCAGTTCACATCCAGCTTATATTAAAAATCGCGGCGCAGCGGGTGTAACATTTAACGAATACTTGATTTACAGATAGCACACAGAAAGAACGATTTTGCTGAAATATCGAAAAATTCAACTAGATAGAGATCTGAAAATTTTGTTTGAACCATCGAAATAATTATATAGGACGCTTAAATTGATTAGTAGAATATTAAAACTTTTTGTAATGTTATCATCACCGCTTAAACATTTTACATCTAATCGTGTTGATTTCCAAACAAAATTATTTTCAGATCTGTATCCAGTTAAATTTTTAGATACTTCGGAAAACTCTTTTTTTCATGCAGAAATGACTGATTCTTTACGAAAAGTGACGAAACACTCTAAAAAATGTGGATATAGATTCAATACTATATGTATCTGTATAATTTTCATCGTGCTGATATAATGTCAATATCAATATGTGTATATTTAAAACTTATGGTGTTTATATTAACATTAATATCATGTGAATTTAAATCCATGCATATATTAATGTTTATATCAATATCACAACACAGTAAAAATTATATAAATATGATGTTAAATCAACCATATTTTTTAGAGGGAAACGTTTTCCTTTTTTCCTGACAATTTAATTAATATCACCTGAAATAAGATCATTTCAGATGATATTAATTAAATACAAGACGCTATTTTTTTTATTTAATAATTCACAAAATGTTAAAAAAGAACAAAATGTTAAATTAATGCGTACATAATTATTGCGTAAAAAGAATCTTCATATTTTTCCATATCATAATGCGTAAAATACTTTCAATAATATAATTATGTTATGTAAATAAAATCGCGGTAACACGGATACCATATTCTTATTACATAAAATGTTCCACAACCACTATACAACGCTTTAATAGCGTATTTTGGATATTAATTGGAGTTGAAAATTTTGATGTGAGTAGATCACGATAGTCTCTCGAGTTATAACGATCCAAATTGATTAATTAATTCCACAGAATTTGTACACTCAGTCCCGTAACTAATTACACGCGGACCGATGTGTTATCTGTTATTTATTTTTTTCAACTCAAATATTAATTTTTTTTAATTTTGCCTTTTAGCTCCAGATATTATTTTAGCGTTTCACATTAGTTCGCTTTATATCAAAGCTCAGTTATCAATAAATGGCATAATTATAAATATGATTAATAATAATTTGTCTCTTTTTATTAAATTGTTGGAATATATTACGTGACTGTGAAATATTTACTATTATTCTTTTATTCATCGATGAAATATATAGATTATTGAAAAAGTTTCTGAATATATTGCTTTCTTGCGCCAGTTTATTATGTAACATTAAATCCTGAAGGAGTTAAGTACGAACCTCTCAAATTTTATTAAAAACATATTTGGGAAGAGGGAAAAGAGAAAATAAAGTAACGCATCTAAATATTAATAACTTCTCCATATTTTTCTACACATTAATTTACTTTTATTTTACACAAATATAAAAAATACTTGTGTCAGTAAACTAAATAGTCAATCACACATTAACAATAATAAGTTAGATATACGATATGTCATATATATGACAGTACTAATCGATTTCTGGTGGAATGGCTATCGATTTCCAGCGGAACATTAATTGAAAGGTGATCTCGACGTTGATCAACGCTCTTTTTAAAACCGAAAAGATATAAAATGTTGGCAGTTTCATCTTGATATTGATGAACACTGTCGAATTAAGAATTATATTTCATAGATATTGGAACGAAAATCTGAAATAGTAATTTAATTCTCATCTCTGTCGCATCAATTTCTCACTTCCAATGAACAAATTGTGTAAGATATCTTTCTTAATTAGTATACATGGTAGGATTATTCGTGGTCCTGTGCATTCTTTTCTTTGAAATATAATACTAGGAACACTAAGTAATTACAATTATAATTCGAAATTGGACCGATGAGAATAGATCTTGTTTAGAGAAATTCTATTTTTGATCAAAGAGGACCTTATAATGCTTGAATGTGCGAATTTATATACATGTCCAATTCCGTAAACTGCGCGCTGAAATCTTTTCAATTCTAAAACGCAATCATAAACAAAAAAGTTTTGTTTATGATTGCGTTTCAAGACTGAAAAAAATTTCGACATGCAGTTTGTAGAATTGAATATGTATGAATAAACATGGAAATATTTAAGTCTGAGATCCGCACACTTTGAACGAAAACAGGATTTCTCTTAATTATAATAGACCAAGTAATTAGTTATAATATTTATATACAATTTTTTTTAATGTACAACTTTACAAATACTTTTAAAAAAATATTAAAGTACGAGTTACTTATTAATTTTTGTAAATTTGTAAAAAATTAACCCCACGAACCTGTTTACTCATCATCCGTCGAAAGTTCATTATTTACGTAGTCGGTATCACTAATTGAATAATTGCGTCTCTTAGCACTTGTCGCGACTGTGTTTCGTAGAGTAATACGACGATACAACACAACGGCTCACGACACTACCCGCCCTTTCGTCTGATCTCGCTACGTGAATGACAATAAGGGCCTCTTCAACTCTGATTAACGCTAATCGATATGGTTAATTCAATTACCACAATTGCTAACGTGAGAACTGAACACAGTTTAGCTCAGAAGAGGAAGAAAGAAGAAGTTCTGATTCATTGAACTGCTATTGGCACTTCTGCGAATTAATCATCGATTAACTAAACTAAAGCGACTGAATTGTATTGACGATTACTTTGCATATACACGCAAAAACAAGCGAACGGTGTTATCATGAAATATTTAATATGTCCCGAAAGATAAAGGTACGTCGAATATTCTCAAATCAATATTCATGAATGAGTTTATTATCGCATATTGCGCGCTTTGTTTCGCAAACCCGTTAGCGTCGCTTAATTGAGTTATCGATTAATTTTCAGTAACGATCGAAAATTTTCATGCAAAAGAAAATTATATATCATTTGCATGTAACGGTTAAAACTTGTTATTTGACATAATTAAATTATCGAAAAAGAGTATTAATTAAATTACCATTATTAGTCGATTATTAATAATAAAAGTTATGGTTGAAGAGAGAAAAAGAAAATGGACTGAAAAATAATAATCACTAAATTAAAAATCATTTGAAAACAATAATTAATGTGCATAAAAAAAAATCAATAATGCATAAATGCAATTATAGGTTCATATTTGTTTCACTATATATTTCGTTTCAGAACGGAGAGAAAAATTGATAAAATTTTAGAGAGAAGGGAACGCAATATATGTATTGTGAATGATTTTTCAGATCTATTAAATAACCTTTTATTTATATTTCACGTAGATTATTTATTAAAAAAAAAAAAAAGACGGACAGCGTAGTTTAAAATATAGCGATTTATTAGTTAATAAAGATCGCGTTTCAACAAAAATTTAATTTTTCGTGAACAAAGCCTAATGTAGCTGACTGTAGGGAATTCTGGAAAAAAAATTCGATACATTGGACCTGTGAATATCGTGTCACGGTTTTTTCACCATGGATAAAGTTTTACGCGGCCCAGCTAAAGACAGTACAGTGAAAAGGGATCGTGAACGTTCAAAATGCCAAACGAACGAGTTTCATCGAACGTCACAGGTTTCGCTGACAGAACATGTGTCCAGCCGTTGCCACATGTTTGCGGGAGGAACATGTTCGATGTTCGATCGTTCGGATACCTCTCTTGCACACAGGCACGTTTACAGCGAGAGAAAAGCGGCCACAGTGACCATAAATCTGTAATTTTAGCCTGAGCGACTGATGCGCAACGAATATATATATTTATGTGTGAGACTATATTATATGCAACAGACTATATTAATACAAACCACTAACAAATAGTAAATCAATATCAAAATCACTTCTAGATTGATCTAACAGATAATGGACTTAATTAAAGCCGCACAACGCTTTGAATTTAATTTCTTTTTGTTAAATAAATTTTATTTAATTAATCGTGTTATTATTATTTTGATATTATTTAATTTATCATTACATTTGATTTATTTAAATGACACGTTGCATTTTCCGCCCGAATTGTACGAACAGAAGGCGAATAATAAATATTTCATATCAGCATCAATTTATAAATATATTTAATATTTAAAAGATTAATTCAATCAGCACAAAACTTTTGTTACACAAAAGAATCATTAATATTTCTCTAAAGATATGTTAAAAAAAATATAAAGAAATTGACTCGATATTGATTACATAGCTAGTCGCTAAATAGTTTGAAATGTTAATCAACTTACTGAAGCTTATCGAACATGAGTGTATTATTTTCTTCATAGTGCAATCAGTTTTATTGAATTAAATTTCAAATCTAATTCAATAAAATATAGAGATACTTAGTTATCTCATGAAAATCTTGAATAACAAAGCCATATAGAGAGATATCGATCGTGTTTTTACAAATAGCGATATCTTTTGATTTGTAGGTGACGAATTTCAGTATCCAGCATCTGGCCACTCGTCCTGAGGGATATATAGATCAGAAGTAAGGATGACCTTCCATTGGGATAAGCTCTCGCCAGCTGAATTCCAACAACTTCAGGACTTGGCAGCTTGTAAGTAGCAAAAGAAGGAAACGGAATAGGAAGTGCTGAAACGTGTAAAATAATGCAGATAAATCACAACGGAGAACTAGGGTTTCTTTCTTTTTCCTTTTGAATTTTTTTTTACAAGTCGTAAATCCTAAAGTCTGCGTTACTGATGAAGTTTTAACCAACTTTGACTTATCTAGCGTATCGGCAAAATTTAACACGAACAACTTTATATACATCTGGCTTAATTTTCTGTCTTAACAGACGCTGTTATTAATTTGCGGACACTTAATGAAGATTAGTCTCTTAACTATTTATCAATATGCAAGCTGATTTCAAAGTTCTGAATAAAGAAGATTATTCGATATAAAGAAGCCAAATAAAGTTTCAAACATTTTTTTTAACGCTTTACGATATTTGCAAATTTGTAACCGCTATATTATATACGAATTATTCTTCATAATGACAGTAGCATATTTATCGCAATTTTATTTCTATTTGCGTCAAAGTCAATGCATTAATTTTACATTTTTTTCAACATTTTCAAATTCGAACAGTTTTTAATTTTGAGTGTATACTTGATTAGGCGACCATTCGGTGTCTTCCGAATGAATCAAATGACGTAATTTTATTTGCTCCGAATCGAATCGAATGTGCGATAATTTTATCCCGAATTTACTCATTGAATACAAATGAGCTTCTCGTGTTGCCTGTTGCGTTCTTTAAAAGTTTCGTTGCGATGGAAGTAACTGAAGTTACGCGCGCTATCGGGTGACTATCGCCGCACGAATTAGATTATAGTCACAAGAAAGTAACTTATTTGAACAATGAAAGATAATATAACATTATTTGTTACCGTCAAAACGTAAATTAATACGTAAGATAGTACGTTGTAATAAAAAACATTCTACTAACATTTTGTTAAGATATTTTGTAACAGCATGTTTCTGATAGAATAGAACAATATAATCTTTTTTAATGCATAAATGTAAATTTTCTGTCTTTGTCATAAATTACCTGAGACTTTCATGTGCCATAGTGAATATTTTTAAATTATGTGGCTACCAACGGGGCACTATCTTTAATTACAGATAGCACTTAACTCAATTAAATATAACTGAAACGAAGTGGTAATTAGCTCCGCTCAATTACGCAGAATGAAAGTCAACAACTGGAAGTTTGTTGATTGAAAGCTATTAAAAATACATCAAGATGGATATAAAACGTAAATACTATCACGTTGAAAAGAGAAATATCGAATAATCAGCAATTTATACGTCTTCGTTTGCTTTCTTCTGTTACAAAGCATCGTGCAATTCGCGCATGCTTGAAATTTATAAAATAATATGTATTTAAAACTTTAATTAAAAATATTTGTGCGTTAAGTAGCTTGCTATATTTTCTTGAAATCCTCGTAGACATTTTCGCGGATATCGCTTTGGGTAAAAACAATCGCAAGATATCAAGAAATTCCCGATTGGAATGAATAATTAAAATGAACACGTGTATAAAGCCGCTTGTTATATTATAATCTCGCTAATATAATATGTAGATCCGAACGTTGAAATTCGTATTAATTTTGCCGTACATTTCTGTGCGATTTAGCGACCGGCAGTAAACGCGCTTCGAATTTTCCGCGCATAAACAACTCGATCGCGGACTTGATGACGTACAGGTGTTTCCACTATCTAGTATTTTACATCCGGCTGACAGGAAGATGCGAGGCTGTAGCAACGTCTATGTCTTTCGAGAAGAAGCAACATACGCAACGTTCGCGCAGGAAAGCACTAATTCATCGAACAAACGCCGCACTTTGTCGTGTAAGCTGAATAAATTGCCGCCGTTCGTCAACAAATTTACTGGCATTACCGTAATATGGCTTCCATCCTGGTACATAATCTTTTATTCGAAATAGTACAACATTGTGCGAAACAAAGGATTTTCGCGTTAGAATTCGCAGAAATAGAATGCGATTGCGAGATGAGCGAGATCAAGAAATTAATATCATTAATATCATTAATATTTAAAAATAATCGAACAAGTGTACGTCATATTTATCGCACGGAAAGAACGGTTTTGCTAAAATAGCTATCTAAAAATTTAAATTAGTTATATATAGATCTGAAAATAAATTTGATGGCTATAAAAATAATTATGTAGAACATTCAAGCTGGTTACTAAAATGTCAAAACTTTTTACAGCATTGCTTATTATGCTTGACTTTCCTACACAAATTATTTTAATAATCCAACAAAATTTATTTCCAGATCTGTATCTAATTAAATTTTTACCTACTTTCAGCAAAATAGTTCTTCCCGTACGTATTTTAACTGATATTAACCAATAAACACTTTCTTTCATTCTCTCTTAAGTTAAACGATAATGTAAAAATAATTATAAATTAAATTATAAATCGACTGTACAAATCAAAGATTGTTTAACAAAAAATCAACTATAAATTCGAAAATTAATGTTCGAACGTCTACAACTTTTTAAAATAGAATAAATTTAAAATATATATTTATCGTAATGAGTACAGCTTTCGAAAAAAAATTGCTTTGTCATAAAGTTATTGTTTACGATCCATTTGTGTGGATATTCTACTGTTATAAAATAATTGTTCAATAATCATCGACAGTTATGCGAGACGGATAGTCATCGAGGTGGAAACATGAATTTTAGCTGGATGCATTAATCATCTGCCCGTTCGAATACGATCCATCGTGACCGTCAATCGAAAATAGTAGTCGCCCAAAAATATCCCGGTCCGTTAAGTGCATTATGACGTCAGTGCGGGTAGATTAGGCCAATGGCCTCCTATTATTAGTCAATTTATCACCGTTGTTTCTTCTGTAAACAGTTGACTTCAAGATGGTTGATCAATCGCCCTCTCTCTTCACTGTCTCTCTCTATCTCAGAATCAGAACTAACTTGTTCGTGACACATTTGCTGACATATCGAATCGTACAACCAGAAAAAATCTCTCACGAAATATTGATGTATTTACAACTTTAATGTTTTTTTTTTTTATACATTCGTTGGAATGATCAATTTATCAAGCTAAGATTGGAAGTATTTGAATATTTAAAAAATTGTATTAGTATTCGCGTCATACATATCGCCAATCAAATTTTTTTGACCCAATAAAATTATTTTTTTAATTTGCTTTTACGTTTTATACGTATTGTTATGAAACATTTTATTAAATTTTCGACTATTATAAAACATGTGTTATATTATTTAGATTCTCTTTGATACTTGACAATTATTCTTCCAATATCATATATAATAGAATTTAACTATGAGTGCAAAATAAATTGTCAAATCGTTAATTGTTTCTCAGATTCCACGCGGAAGCTCCAGGATGTTCTGGCCGAATTTTGTGGGAGCAACACAACGTCGAGCGGCGTGCCAAAATATCATCCGGACGGAGTGAGTCATATAAAGATTAATCCATATTTTAATCATAACCGATAATATACGCATAAAAAAATTTAAGAGAATATATTTCATCTATAAAAAAGATATATTGTTTTAAAGATAGAAAGGGTGAAATTAAGCGAAGATATATCTCTAACATTAAAAAAATGAGAATATCTTATGCAACGTTATTTTAGTTTTTCATCCGACACTGTCGTGATACTCTATTCGGTAAATGTTATTTTTTGTAAAGTATACGTTTGATTCCATAGAAATTTCCGCAAGTTTTCTGTGTAAATCGATAGATGTGAAGGATTCTACCGAACGCGAACACGATTTCGTTGCCGTCTCTCATCTCAGGTGCACTTCAACCTTTCTATAAAATGAAATTGAACGATCGGTGTGCTCAAGAGTGCACTTGAGCGACAAATATCTACTTAACTTGGACGCAAGCTGTTTAAACAAGTTTTCAGGAAATGTGATATTTTACGGAAAACCGCGAGATACATCCATTCAAAACGATTTATGTAAATAATTAGTAACTTTTATTCGTGACAAGAACGAATTTGTAACTTTACAAAATGTTAGATACAGCTGTTCGCCGATGAAAAATTTTTTTATCGTCGTATTAAAAAAAGGAACTATCGTTTCAGAGAAAACTTCTTCCCGTTTTATCTATTTCATATCGACTGAGGTACTGTCAGATTATATAAGCGTACAGTTTATATTTTGAGTAAAAGCTATACAGGAACGACATAAAGCGATGGTATAATATGGTTCACAGCGAGAAAGCATTTATTCCATAAAATCGTAAACTATTCCCGCTAGAATAACATTCAGAACACGTACGATTCTCACGGACAGGTGGAAGTTATTGCGTGCTCGAGTTATACAAGAAGGACGGACCGCATAAGAGAGTTTCGCATTCGACGACGCATTAATGATCGACTCAAATTTCTAATGGTAGTCGCATGCGAAGTTATTTCTTGCACGAAAAGAGATTTCTTACCGCAAATAACATGGACTATTAGTTTAAGATAAATTTTATCAGAAATGTATTAAAAAGGAGAATTGTATTAAATTCTTCTCTCTCTTTCTCAGTATATATATATATTCTGAATTTTTCCTTTGCGTTTTTTTTTCAATAATAAAACATGGTACGACAGTTATTCGGAGTTCGCAAATTTGCGGATTTTTAAAGTTTTTCAGCGCATGCAGCTCATAATGTGACCGCGCGCGAATTTCGTCTCGCGGATTTCACGATGGAACTAAAGTCATTCCTCCAACTTCGACACCCCTCGCTGTTTTCTGACAGTCGTTTTACTTTTGCGTCAGCGTGCGATGTATTGGAACAATGTGCAACATCGACGTAGCATACGTCTATAAACCTAAACATGCGGGAACACGTTTAGCTCTCCTGAGGAATATTAACTCCGAAACTAAAACAGATTGCTGAAGTTGCGACGATGCTTTTTTTTTGTATGAAGTACACTCGCCGGCACCGTGTTTACCGTTCGTCACAGTTTGTCGTAACACGCGTTGCATCATGATGATATATCGATTAGGGCTTCTTTTACGTGTATCTCTCTTGTGACTAATGGAGCAACTTTTTGCAAAAATTTTGCACCAAGTCCCATGCGAAAAGTTACGAGTCTCGTCATAAATATTCAAATGGCTACTGCGCAAGCTTTTTGAGAGAGAGAGAAAGTCATGATAATTTTACTCAATAATCCCATTCCTATATTTTTGTACACTCGTTGGAACAGAATCAGAAATATGTTAATATTTCTCTTGTTAATATTTCCTTCTGATAATGGGACAGTTATTGTAACAAGCTACTAGACACACCTGTGTAAAAACGATTTGAACGTTTCTTTTCGAATTCCTAAATTCCTAAACTCTTATAAAATCATTGTGAGTTACAACAAGAAGTCTGATTCATGATCCGACGATAGTAATTTCATGGCACGTTCCAAGTTGGGGTCCCTTTGAAGCGATCTAAATTACTTTCTTCTATGTTGCCGGCGTCTTTCCACAAATTCCAACCGCGCGACATTTTCAGACGGTGAACAAATTTACTGGCTCGCCATCGACGGCGATATAATCCACCATTCTCACGTGATATTCTCATATGAGCGACTGGCCCAGAATTTCACGAGGTTATTAGTCTTCGAGTAATTATTTTAAAATAAAGGCAATAAAGCTTGGGTTTCTTACAGGATCGTAAAAAATTGCGGATCGTAAAAAACACCAAAGCGGTTGGATTTTATGCTGGATAATTGTCTAAAGTTTTATGATTCTCAAAACGAAGAAGAAAATGACTTGTATAACTCCAACGTATACACCGTAATAATGCCGCAAAAGCTTTCTGTTCGTTTTGTAGCGGTACGTGCCGTAGAGATTCCGCGAGACACTAGTAAAACTTGTTCGTTGCTGGAAAGCACAGAAATTGCATTCTTACTAAGAGTGTCACAATGCTTACTGATCTTATTGCATACATAGTAACAGTTAAAATCCATTAACGTGAAGCTATTGTTACGAGAAAGATTCCGTAAACTTTATTTACGCACATAGCCAGCGATGTTATTCGCACAGGATCGAACATTATTCGTTTTATCGTGTACAGTGGTAGCTGATAGGAAAATATCGTCGACTTCAGTACGCGATTACGTAAGGCAATATTGGCAAATTTAATATGTAATTTAAAAAACTCTTCATTAACTTCCAGTAATAATAATTTGAATCTCACTTTTGAATCTTTTAAATATACATCAATCTTCTTCCTATAACTTATATGTGTATTTTGTATTTTTAACTCTAATCGATATCCATTCTCACTTAACTAGCATTCGCGGATTCAGTATACTTTAAATTAATGTATCTTTGCTTAAAGTTAATATGACTGAACGATTTTTTTTTCATTTTGAAGGTCAAAATTCGAAAAACAAGATTATGTAACTTAAAATTATGTAAGATTATGAAAAACATTTGTTATAAATAACTTTTTATAACACAGTTGAAGAAAATGTTCGGGTCCGCTGGATACGTGAATATCGATTAGGATTAAATACTTCACTCTATAAAAAAGAGGAAAATGTGGTAAAACAAAAAGTAACTAAAGTTCAATTTTAAGCTTAATCTATGTGCTCGTGTGTGTGTTGTTGTGGGTGGTTGTTGACGTGAATGAACCGTGAAGTAAATTACACTTTAAGAATCTAACAGATAATTTTCATTGCCGCGATATTAACATCAAATATACCAGTTCAATCACAAAGCGATTGAAATCGAACCGACCAATATTGCGTCAACATTTACAAGACCGGAGTTCCTTTGTGCAAGAGAACGCAAACGCTTGATAATCCATAGGATACGACAATCGACATCGAATGTTAAGAGGTTACATCGGTTACGAGAGCAGGAGGTCCGGAAATTCCCCTGCGGACGTGGTCTTTTACCGTGAAGCGTAACCGGTGTCGAGAACTCATAATTGGAGATTCCACCGAGGGACAAGCGTGCGTCAACGGCCCGATAAGAGGTCACATCCAACCACAAGTCTGACACGCGAAACGAGCGCTGCGACACTCGATTCCCTCGATTATAGTTAGCCGAATTTGCGATTTGCTCGAACCAGATTTCTCTGCGTAAATAAATTTGATCGTTTGAAAATCACAAGTTTTTTCTTCCACGATTAATTAATCGCCACATTATTAATTGTATTTAGATAATTTCTTTCTCATTATATATTTTGACAAAAGTTTTGTAAATATTTAATTAGAATTCGTCTGATTTGTGGATTATATATCTGTAGATATATTTGTATATATAAATTATATATTTAAAAATAATATAATATTTTTTGTAAAACCGTACTCTTACCTTGTACGATTTATTTATACATTTTATCGTATCTTTCATGTTTTATTCAATTGTTTTGTCATATCTTTTACGTTTTATTCAAAAGTTTTACTCATTAATTGTTCCGAAGCATCATTGCAAATAATACGAATAACACGGTCACCGAACAATAACGGTGAGGTTCGATAATTGCGAATTTAATTGAATAAATGCGTATATATATATATATTGCTAACAGAAATATTCTTGCCCAATAGCGATAATAGTCAACAAAATGCCATATGTACAAAAGCGAAGACAAATACCACGGCATTAAATCAATAAAATTGCGATGGATGAACAGAGTTGCTTGCGTTCGCTCGTTAGTGTGGGAAACACTGTTGAGCTCTCATAACTGAATAGCCAAGAGAGAGTTCAGGTTTTGCGGCAATGGTCTAAATGATCACATTCAAGCTCTATATTAACTGCAGAGTTTCGAAACATGCCAATGTATATCATCAATATTACGCAACTCAAAGATACGGAGATTTAAATGATCGGCAAGATTTATTCATCAAAAGAGAATTTATTCAATTCTACAAGCAGATCGGAATTATTATCTGCCATTTATATTCAAGAAATATGAGACATTCTTCTAGAATTATATATTACATTAATATATAATTCTAATTTATAATTTAATTGATTAAATGTAGCGATAATAATTTTTATAAATGGTTGTCGTCAAAGAAATATTGTGGACCTGATAATCTCGATTCAAAGATCAAATCGAATGAGATCAAAGACTGTGACGTCAGAAAGAAATCCAAAAAGTATACTTGACGGTCTATTCACGTTATCGACGCAAATAGAATTCTTGAAACGAAAGAAAATAATCGAACGAGTTAAATGGTGATAAGAAGAGAAGAGAGAGAGAGAGAGAGAGAGAGAGAGAGAGAGAGTCGATTACGTCTATTTAAAATGAAAATCTTGGAAGAATATTTAATTAGATCTGTAAACTGAGATTATGCTACTTGTAAGATGTTGATCTCTCATTTCATTTCACCAATTATCTTACAAATTTAAGGATTTATACCAGTTAATAGTCTACGCAGGATATTTTTTCCGAAATTTTTTTCTAGAGCGATATAAATATAATTTACATTTAATTATTTGAA